ACAATCAATCAATTAATTAAAATAAACAGGCAACCAAACACATAAAAAAATAAGAATGCAATAAAAATAAAACTTAAAATGTCGAGAATATCTTTTTAAAATTAGGAGTATTATAAGCCCCTATTTATAAAATCTAAAAATATCTCTCGAGCGGACCCTGCGCGGCCTTGAAAAGTGAAAATCATCAAAACGTGCTCAAACAGAATAAGACCATAAATAAATAAGCACCGATATGAAAAATGATGAATAACGAAAGAAACGTAGACGAAAAATAAGTCCCGAGCAAAAAGATATGCCATTAGTAAGAACAGCGACTTCCGGGGTCAGAAACCCTAAAACAAGGGAAAATGTCTGGAATGCATGTCTAAGAGTACGCGGCTCAATAGAATACGAAAATGAATCCTGTATGAGAATTCTAGCCCAAAACAAGACATGCATTAATTTTTGTTAATTACAAAAAGACCCTTCCACTAAAATATCTCAAAAGATATTCGCACAAATAACCCAAAAGAAAAATATCTTCCAAAAATTACTTTTTCATAAACCCCTGAAATAAAATATCTTTAAAAGATATTTTTAAAAAGACCCCCAACAAATGAGAATGTTCTCAAACATAATCACACAAATAACCCCAAAATAAAAGAAGTGAAATAAGAACAAGGATAATAAAAATATAAAATGGAGGAAGTGTCGGGAATGATTCCCGAGCACTCAACTCAACTCGAATGGACAAAACCCGAACATAGAAAAATAAAATAAAATAACGGAAAAAGAAAATCCACAAAAATGGGAAAAAGGAACCTGACTCTACAGTTTTGGTAGGTTCACGTCCATCACGACTTTAAAACGCGTTGTGTCATAGAAGGGTGTTGAATCTACATATAACACTTGCCCTATCCATACCCAGGTGATGTGAAATTGTGCACCTGTAGCTTGCCAAGTATGGTAGCCTACGTGTGCCACTTGCACAAGCTCACACCCACCCACCCACAAGGTCTTCAAAATCACCCCCCTTTAGGGCCCAACATTCCTTTTGGCCACACTTCCGGCTGGCTCAGGCTTTGATACCATTTGTCACGACCATTATTTTAGCCAAACACAATACTATCTACTTTTGGCTTCCCCGGACCAGAGACTTCCTAGGGGGTCACCCATCCTGGTACTACTCCAGGTTAAGCACGTTTAACTCTGGATTTTGGTGAGTTCACAGTCATCACGACTTTAAAACGCATAGTTTCATAGAAGGGTGTTGAATCAACATATAGCACTTGCCCCATCCACACCTAGGCGATGTGGGATTATGTACCTATAGCTCACCTAGTATGGTAGCCTACTGGTGCCCCCTGCACATGCTCACACACACCTACTCACAAGGTTGTTACGTCTATCCTTATCTCATTGGCATCAATCTCGCGTGCTCCCGACCATCGCGAAATTAATAGATCATCTAAGAGTTATAACTTTGGAAGAGAGATCTGTTCACCCAACAAATTAGTGAGAGAGATGGTAGGGAAATGACTATACATAAGTTCTCTCTCTATTATCTTCTTCACTGGATAGGAATAATAATAAAAAACAAAAAAAATTGAATTCCGTCACCAAACAAGCCTCCGGCGCTAATATCACCATCGATCGATTGGAGTTCTATTGCCGACACCATCATCAATTGATTTTTGACACCCATGAGCTCAAATCTGGCATCCCGACCATCGTTGCTTGCACCTATAGTACATCGATGAAGCTGGAGAGAGAAAAAGTGAGAGGAGGGGGGAAAAAGAAGACCCAAAAGATGGAGGTGGAACCGTTGTTTGGGCTGAGAGGTTAGAGAGAGAGAGAGGAGAGATAGGGGAAGATGACTGGATTGCATGCACGTGCATTTTTTTTGTCAACTGGACGCCAACTAGATTCTGCCTAAGAAATCGGCCAAATCCATCGGCATAAATATCATTTTCCTAATTTAAAAGCTAATTTTTAGGAGAAAAATAAGGAAAAAAAAAAAAAACTTGGAACAAATTAAGGAAACAAACTATAGAAAGGAGAGAAATACTTTTGATTGGTTAATTGATAAACAACTTAATTTGATAATAGTACGGAATATGTTGTTGTGAACCTAATTTGCATTATTATATATTTCATATACTCCATAAGTATTTTTGTCTGTGGTGTTTAGAACTTGAGCAGTGCTAGACTTCATGGGGAAAAAAATATATATATATATTCAAGATTATATCACAAATGGTAAATACTATGTCATATTTCTCCACCAAAGTCACTCTTACTGCTTTTTTAGGCCAGTTACTCTTTTAATATTTTCTTTCAAAAAATATAAAGATTCATATTTTTCTTCTACCATAGTCATCACATAGGTGAATATCAAAGCCCATCAAAGTAGTTCTCCTCTACAATGCATCAAACAATTACCCATTACTAATTTCGTTTAAGAGATACAAATGTAATCCTAAAATTTGGAGTTATAGTTTCAGATCAACACATAAAAATTACACACACACACACAGAGTATGTTTAAGTAAAAATCTAGAACTAAGCTGTGTGGTTGCCAGCCGCAACTTCTAAAAGGAAATCTAAGAATGATTCAAGAAAAAAGAAATTAGCTCCGAAAAAGAAATTTGAGTGAGGGTTTCTCTCTCTGGCTCCAAAAAGAAAGCTAATTATGCCATGTCTTATTAGTGATAAAATTACGAAAATCACTTCGTAATGTTTATTATTTCCTTAGAACTTTAGATCCATATCTTTAAGGAAAATGCTAAACATCACAAATTATTATGTCACGAAAATAACTTGAATTACATGACTGATATGGCAGCTTTGTGGCTGATGATATGACAACTTAACTTTGTGTATTTTGAAAGCCATTTTGTCCATAGAATACATGGTAGGATTAAGAGAAAATATAAGAAAATTTTATTTATGACAAAATCTGAAAACTAACATAACTCTTTGGTAGACAGTTTACGGGTTAACTCTTTTTGTTCAATGAGAACCCTAATTTTCTCAAGCAATTTTTAGGTGTGGATAATTAAATAAGTACATAATCCACTTAATTAAAGCTTTTTAAACCTATATTTTGAGTCATTTTTCTCTTAAATAAGAATCCTAATTTTCTCAACGATCTGCATGTGAATAATTTGATAAATAGACAGTCAACTTCATGTTTATTATAATTATAAAGTCGAGAATGCATAAGAGAATATATATATATATATATATATGATCGGAATCATTGTTCATCTTTGAATTTATTTGCTTCCTTAATATTTCAACAAGAAGAGAAAGAAAGTGTAATATCTATTAAGATTGAGGGTATATACATCTCTTAAATAGCGTCACATCATATTCAAGGTACATACCTTGAATTTTATTCGAGACGTATAGCATTGTTTTGGATTACAAATAATTGGGATCCTCATGAGATTCAATTAGGGTTTATGTGCCCAGGACAAGTGTATCACACTTTGATATTTCATTTGTTAACGGACTATGAGGGAGAGAGAGTTTTTTTTTTTTATTTTATATATATATATATTTTTTATTAGGAAAGTGAGAGAAAAAGAAAGGTAAGGCGAAGGGAGAAAGTGATGCGGCGAGTAGAGCCTATAAAAGCGGGCCGAAATGAACAAAAATATTATCGTAATACTGTTCATAATGTACACCTTGAAATTTCTTTCACGATGTTACATATCTTCTTGTACTATCAAAATGTTGATGGGTTTCATTTGAATTGGACTTCTTAAGATTTTGACCAAAAAAATTTTATTAGATTCAAGGAATTACGATTCGAGTTACTAACATAAATTTAACCCAATACAAATTCAATTCAAAGACCGAGTTTGTGTTTGGGTGGACTAATCCACTCAAAGGAAAGGTGAGGGACTCCAACCCCATTGATGTTAGATAGAATTTCAGTCTGACGAGCCTGTTTCTGACCAGAAAGAGTTGAGTTTTGGGTAGGAATGATCGATTGAGCAAATTCCATTAACTTTTAGATAGTATGTCATTTCATTTTTTGGCTAAAAACTTTCATTTAGGACTCTAAAATCACATTTTCTAATCCCATAGGAGGTCTATTCATGATTATTTCAATATTTTTGTTCGAAGCTTAAACGGAGTGAGAATATGTTGAATTTTTATATTTAGTAGTTTTTATTAGCTTAAACAAAGTCTTATTTTATTTTTTCGTAATGCTTGGAGAAAGTTGATTTTTAAGTTTATTTTTGAGTGTTAGTTTCCTTATGATACAAGATTTTCTTTCATTATAAATATATATACTGTAGAGAACAAAATTACAAACTTAATTATCAATAATATATCAGAATTCTTTGTGATTTTTCTTCAAGTAAGTAAATTTAAACTTATCCATTATTCCTTTGTGAACGTTTTCATTTTTGTTTCGTCACCCTGGGTATTTGCAGGTGTCTATTTAATTTTTAAAACACAAAAAAGAAAAAAAGTAGTGATGTTTTCAACTTTCATTTGAATTGAACTTCTTATCCATGACGAGTCTAGATTTAAGGCCCACAGGACCGCATGACCTATGTCCACTAAGCATATTCATAGAATAGCCCAATGCGCTACATGTCGGCTCTGATCTCTCTCTCCTTCAACACCGACTCCAAAATAAAAAATAAAAAAAGCGCTGGAAGCGTGTCGCAGCTTCTCAATCACATGTCGACCCACTCACCACCGCCGGTGAATTCACACCCAAGCCTTTGACTGAAACAAATAATACCTCAGAACAAAATCGAACATTCGTTGTCATTCACAACTTGTTTGATCCAATTTAACCCACATCAAATATCTAATTTGTCAAACGTACCCAAAACAATGTACATCTATCTATTAGATAACGATCGATCATAGATGTATAAAGTTGGCAAGTTGAGGCCGACTCTTCTATGGCGGCGATGAGTTAAATTATATATATATATAATTTACATACCACTTTAACGTACCCACAACAATTGACTTAGGTTGCTTATATAACGGTCGGTTCAAGAAGCTTGCTTAATGGGTTGTACGCTTTTTCAACTAGATAGAATACTTGGTAATTATATCATATAGCCTAATATAGAGAGTGATCCAAGTTACATATATCTATACATGTGTCTTTTCAAGGTGGCGAATCCGAGAATATCAGAGAGAGATGGAGGAGGGAGAGGGAGAGGGAGAGGAAGAGGAAGAGGGCTTAATGAAGATGAGAATACTAATGGTGTGCTGTTGGAGTCGGCGGTGTTGCCGATGTTTTCCGAGTTCAACAGAGAGCAAGAGATGTCAGCTATGGTGTCTGCTCTCACCCATGTGGTGTCTGGTGATCTGCAGGTGAGTACTGATCAGGAGGTGGAGGAGGAGGATGGTGGTGGTGGTGGTGGTGGTGGTGGTGCTAATAATAATATACCGGGTGTTGGAGCAAAGAGAGAACGCATAGAGGATGATATTGGGCAGTTATCTGAATCAGTTTCAAGACCATATTTTCATCCATGTGCTAACTTTTCACCAGGAGGCTCATCTTCTAATTTCAGAGGTAAGCTTTAAACTGTCTCTGTGATATATCTGGCTTTTCAATTAATTTACAACTCACTAGATAATATTAGTTACCTGGGTACGTTGGACATTTGGTACTCTAATCAATGAATACTCTATTTATCTTTAAAATTCAACAATCACTATTATTAATAAAAACATAGAATATTCAACAATCACTATTATTAATAAAGACAAATTTAGACAACAGAAACTATGTTTTAAATTTATGCACAACCGAGTCTTTTCAATCATAAGCCAAATATAGGAAAAAAATTGATTAACCGTTTTTAAGAAGAGAATCTATCTCCTTGCAAGTAGCAAAAAATAGGAATTATTGCATGCAGAACCTCATATGAATTAATGTTGTACTTAAACTTAGAAAATATGGCCGGCATGTCACCTGTGGCATGAGAAACTGCATGTGCCGGTGGTGGATTATGGGGGTACCCGACACCACCATTGTCCCAAAAAAAAAAAAAAAAAAAAAAAAAAAACCTTACAAAATATGTATATATGGCCTTTTTCTATCACTATATATGGCTTAAGTAGTACAGAATTATTATTATTTATCACAATCCCTCTTTTAATTGTTTGGTATTTATTTTGTGCAGTTACAGAAAGTCCTAGCACTAGGACAACAACAAACACACCACCAACAGAGATGGCATATACATACACTCCCACATATGACAATAGTGAGTCCAATTTAGGGGAGCCCAGGAGGAAATACAGAGGAGTGAGACAGAGGCCATGGGGCAAGTGGGCAGCTGAAATTAGAGACCCCTACAAAGCTGCTAGGGTTTGGTTAGGCACATTTGACACTGCTGAAGGAGCTGCAAGAGCCTATGATGAAGCAGCTCTCAAGTTCAGAGGCAACAAGGCCAAACTCAACTTCCCCGAAAACGTCAGACTCCGTCCACCACCGGCAGTTTCTCCGGCCACCCAGTTGCCCATTTCGGATTCTCCACATACCCTTTTATCAGTTTCAACGTCGGCCGAACCGATTGTTCATTCTCAAGCTCTGTACCAAAGGCAGAACCTTGCACAAACCTATAGAGACTACACCAACTACCATTCTATGTTGGTTATGAATTCTGGTCAATTTCAAGGACAGCCCGTGAGTTTGTTGGAGCAAAGGCGGTTGCCAACTTCAGTGGCTTCTCAATTTCAATCTTCTTCTTCACTTGGATACTCTGTTTCATCGTCTTCTTCTTCACCACCACCACCACCTTTTCCCCTGTTTTTGGCGGCTCAGCCGCCTCTTCAACTAAGGCCGCCAAGCAGTCAGAGTAGTTTTGCAGAATTTCCGGTGACAGATTGGTCAGATTCTGGTCATCAGCCTTCTTCTCCTTCAGGATGATCTCTCAAATTTTTTTTTTTTTTTCATTTTTTTTTTTTTTCCGTGATATTGTCATTTCTATTTTGGGTTATTTTAGTATCTGTTATTCTTATTTCTATATTGAGTTTGCTATTCTGTTATGTTTGATCAGGTTCTCATTATTTGAATGTAGTGTTTAAATCAGGACCATCAGACACTAATAACTTTCAAGAAGTTTAAGCATAGAGAACTTTTCATTCTGTTTCAAGTACATGTATCTATAATTTTAAAAAAAAAAACACAAAAAATTATATTAGAAAAACATCTAACACCATAGAAAGAAACCCAAAATGATACACACTAAAAATTATGAAAAAGGGGGAAGAAGTAAGACTTATCACTAAAAACTACTAAATACCAAAAAAAATAAGAATAATTTCAGTTTGTTAAGATTTGTATAAATTTTTTTTGAAATATTCAACAGTTAAAAACGCGATTTCAAAATCCTCAACGATGGTATTTGATTGAAACAGACGTGAGCAAAACTAGTGTATTAATGGCTTGGCTATCAATTCATGATCAAGAATCTGTCTCAGCAAGTTAAAATAGTCTTTAATCAAATTCAAATGAGCCATATATATATATATATATATATATATATTTGCAATCAGTTTTGTTACCCAATAAATGACTCTAAAGGGGTGAATAGAGTTTTGACAAACAATGGCTAATTTTTTAGATTAAGGATACGTAAGTCTTAAGCAAGCATCTATATAGACTGCGCAAGATGAATATATCAATATAAGCAATGCAAGAACAATTAATAAAAGATATAGGAAGAGAAATTGTAAACTATAACACGTTGATTTAGCAAAGTTCGGAACTATTATTTCTGAGCTCAAGATCCTTCTTCAGACTTTCTCAAATCGATTATGTTTTATCCTTTCAGGTGGAGAGCAAACCTCTATAATTTATGAAGCACGGACACGGGACACGGGTATGACACAACACGAATACGGCGACACGGCAAATTTCAAAAAATAGGATACGGACACGGTAAGGATACGCGTATAAAATATATATATATATATATATATATATATATATATATATATATATATATATATATAATTATATATTTGTTGTTATTTTATTTGCAATTTTGTATTTATATCTGTTTGTTATTAGGAAAATGAATGTGCAAGGTTCTAATAATTATATTTTGAATATATAATTATATATATATATAACATGACCAATTTCAATAATTTCATCTCTGTTATAAGAAAAACATAAACAAGACAAAACAGAAAATAAATGAAAAATAAAGTTGATCCAAATTCCAAACGAAGATGTGCAGAAGAGACATAGCTATAATGGGCTAAATATGTACATGAATAAACATATATACTTTCAGTCTTTCCCAAAGTCTTGTTAATGTACAGAGATAACTGAAGAAGAGGAGAAACTGAGAGAGGAAGTGAGAGAAAATAAATTTTCTGTGTAATACTATGTTGTCTGTAGTTATTTCTTTTTATTTTTTCAAACTTTTACTTTTAAACTTCTAAAATTAGTAAATTACATTACCCCATTTATCTTTAAAAAAATTACAAAATATACCCTGCTGTGTCCCCCGCATGTCCTCCGCGTGTTCGAGCCGTGTCCACCCCGTGTCCTCCACGTGTCTGAGCCGTGTCCACCCCGTGTCCTCCGCGTGTCCGAGCCGCATTCACCCCGTGTCCAATAAAAAATAATTTCTGGACACTTCACAGAAGTGTCAGACACGTGTGCCCGTGTCAGAAAAGTATTCAACACTGGTATAGACCCTTGGGAGAAGTGTCCGTGTTTCATAGTCTACAATGAAACAAATTTGTTTCTTCTTTTTTGTTAAGAGAAAAACCTTCTCTTAGGCTTCCTTTGGGTCACACCAACCTTTTGGGTCAAACCAATATAGAAGAAGATGGTTGTAACAAGGGGGAACTTGTTGTAATACCCCTATATTTTAAAGGTATTATTTATTGAGATTAACTTTTTTAAATTTTATTTAAAATGATTTGTTTGATTTAATTGGGATTAATTGCTTTAATTTTAATTTTAAATGATTTGTTTTATTTAATTAAGTGTTTTGATTAATTGTTTGATTTTAATTAAATTATATTTCGCATTTTACTTGTTGAATTGATATGATGTTTTGCTTTGTAGAATGTCATGATTGAGTTGTTTATTTATCTGTGTGTGACTAATCAAACCTTACTCTTACTCTATTTATTTTCTTTTAGTATCTCATCAAAATTTACATTTTTTTTTATAAGTTTATTGAAGAAGTTTTATTTGCTCAATAAATTTCCTTCTCTTTTTTTGTTTGTCCGCTACTTATTATATTATACGTAAAAAAAAGTTCTGATAAATCTGGAAAAAATCGAAACTAAGAATAGGAACCTTTTATGAACGGGATCAAGAATCATTATTATTTCGACACAAGAAAAGGCATTTAAGCTTGTGTGATTTTATTGTGAATTATTTGTAATTAATAAATTTAATGTAATTATATTATTTATTTAAGTTAATTGGATTGGGTTTAAAAGCAGTTGGACCAATGAGTGTGGTCTTGGACTTGGATGAAGCCTTATTAGGTTAATTAATAAAGACCCATGGTTATGATGATATTTAAATAATTATTTTTGTATAATTATATATATAAATATAATTAATTAATAATTGTTATGGAAGGAAATATATATATATATATATATATATATATATATATATATATGTATATTGATATACATATGTATATATGACTTAATTAGTTAATAATTATTATGGAAGGTAATATACATGTATATATTATATAATATGTGTGTGTGTGTGTATATATATATGTATATATATATATATAAGTATATATATATATATATATATAATTTAAGATTATTATTAATATTATTTTTATCTGGTAGTCATATTAAGAATAGGATTAGGGTATTAATGTGTATAAATATACACATAAGGTTTTATTGTGAAAATGTTTTCTTGTTAGAAAAAATAAGAGAGGTAAAGAGAGAGAAGAAGAGAAGGCTGACAAAGAGGAGGCCGGATCAGAGAAAGAGGATGCCGAAATTGGAAGAGACAATCAAAGCTTGAGACGTCGATTTCATTTCAAAACCTTCAGGCAAGTTCTTTTCAACTTCTTCTCTTAGGAGTCATAAATCTTTCACCTTGATATCAAATTTAAGGGTTAATATCTATAGGTTAAATCATGGCTAATTGGAATATAAAAATATGTATGTGACTTTTTACGGATTGATATATATTCATTTATGTATTTATGTTGGGTCTATTCTTTATGTGTAGAGTTTTTATCAAAATTGTAAATTTAAATTTGAATTCAATATGATTAATTATTACAAATGGATTGAAATCAATTTATAGGCCTGGTCTATGACCCAAGAGGGTTAATTAGGGTTTTTAGAATTTTTGAGATTTTCTGGAATTTTTCTTAGATTTGAACTATAGTTTTTAATTAGGGTTAAATTTAGATTTGAACCCAAGTATGATTAAGTATGATTAATTGTTATAAATGGATTGAAATCATTGATACATAGTTTGGACCTTGATTTCATACACCTTCCCCTCACTTTTTCACCTCACCATAGAAGGCTTTTGTCATCCTTGGAGCTCCACCATTAAGGCCTTGTTCTTGGAATCTCCATTGCTTCATCTTTACTTGGATTCTAGAGATTATTTACTCTAGCAAGGTAGGGAATGATTTATGTTTATACCCTTAGTGTGTGTTTTTGGAGTTGGTATACTTTGCTTACATGTTAATTACAAATTTTAGGGTTGTATGTAGATGTGTAAAACATGAAATTGACTTAACGTTTATCATTCTTTAAGACTTGTGTATGATATTTACCTTGTGACAATGTCAATTTATGTGGTGATGACTTGTAATTTAGGGATTTCTATTTATGTGCTTATGGAGATTCTAGTAATTATGCAAATGATTTAATTATGCAATTAACATTGTGTTGTTGTTTAAACCCTGATTTAGAAGCTTATTGTATATTCACATGAAATGGAAATTCAATGTTGACAATATAGTAGTGGCTTGACTTAATACACAATGTGAAGTTGATGTTGAAATTGCCATTGTAGATGAGGACTTAAGGCATGAATTGTGTGAACTCATGTTTAGTTGTGCAAGATAATTGGTTAAGTGCAATGTATACCTAGTATACTTGTGTATAACTTGTTGATTTTGGAAACTTAGGACATCGTTGTATCGACTATACTTAGAGTACGGCTCTAATGCTGGAGATACAAGTTCTCCCCACACGTGCATACTAGGGTAGTTCCCGGCGGGCTAGTATCCCAAAATAGCTATTATTCGTTCAATTTTATCCGGCGTGATTTCCAAGTATATCCATATTGTTTGATTTCGTATTTTCATTTCAAGTTGATGACACTAAATCGTTATAACTTCTTGTTGGCATTGAAGGTTCCAATTTCTTTCATTCTTCACTTGTAGTGAATTGTATTTGAATTGTCATAAAGGTAATTTAGGATGATCCCTTAGCACCACATTGAACATAGACATTAAGTGGCATAACCCACGTGTATCGGTTTATATTATACTTGCAAAACCGTTAAAACTTTAAGTTATATGCATGCACATTATCCTACTGAGTAACTCGTTTACTCACCCTAGTTGATTTGGGTTATTTTCAGGTAAGGAGACTTTGTTTTGGGATGCACAACATCCCTAGATTTGGCTTGGTCGCATTGGTATACCTTTTGTGTAATTTTGTATGCATGCATTTGTTTAGCATGCCTCTTTTGATTCTTTTTGTAAACCATGGATGTATGGTATTCAGAAGCTTGTTTAGTTTCCTTTGAAATGTGTAATATGTTATATTTTGATCCTTTTTTAAGGGGAAAATGGAATTAGGACTTGTAAACTTCTCGGTTGAGTCCCAATATCATTCCCACCTTAGTATCATATTTTGTATAATCTTGGATTACATGTAATGAGGCCTTAGGGTCATCTTTTGCGTATTGCCCTTTGTTGATTAAATTTCACGCTTAGGTATGTTGCACACACTTGCAAATGATTATTCATGTTTGGGGAGCTTATTCATCATTCTTGGGTACCAATGAAACCATTTTTAAGCATTTAGAAAGCATATTTAGGTATCCCATTGGACCTGTATCAAATAGCAGCT